AGGTTTTGTCGAGAATCCCTTTCTCTACGAAACCATGTTTTGGTCGATCTATACATGTTTAGAAACGAAATTTTCATGCCATTTTGTAGCGCATGTTCTCCTCTACCTAGCCAAATGAAAAATACAATATACGATATATTGATGTTGCATTATATAATGCCTTATATAGATATTCAGCTGTTTCACGTGTTTCATGAGAACCATGTTCTCTATCTTGAAAGACGTTTTTTAATGTATTTAATTCCTTTTTAAAATATTCATATGCTTCAGATTCTGATTTTGCTAAGTGAAGATTTGCAAAATATTTTTTTACATCTGAAAAATAATTACGACCATATATTTCAGCAAAATATCTTGCCAAAATTCTATCATAATCATCTTGTTTCACAAGTTTAAAAGCAGCAAAAAACATTGAAAAACATTGCGATAATGGAGAATCATTATATTGTTCACCGGAGTTTGTGCCTAAAACTAATTCATGATAACATCTTAATACTATTGATATAGGATCAAGATCAGCGACGTTTATTGAAATATTGTTTGTCGTATTTCTTGATAAAACACCAACTTGCACACGACATAAACCAAAGAATGTAGTTACATCAATAAAAAATGTTGAATGTCCTTTAATATATTCAGTTGATCGTGAAGATTTGTAACATAAAACTGCACATCCATTTGTTTGATTTTGTGTTGTTATTGGAATTTTATTTCAACATCGTTCATTTTCTATTAAATGAATCGGTAATGTTACAAAACGAATAAAATCAACTAAAAATCTATTTAAATAAATATAGTCAGGATCATGATGCATTTCATTTCGTGAATAAATAAATGCTGATATATTGAAAGTTGATTTTGAACCACCATCATTAAGTGATGATCGTATTAAATTTAATTTTAATGTTTTTAAATTTCTATTATCCAATTGTTGATTAGCTTCTTGATTAAACAATTGGTTTATAGCAAATGGATAACAACCATGATTCATAATTTCACGATAGACAATCTTAAATGGATCACTAGGTATTACTCGTTTTTCAATAAAATAATTGTACCAATGATTTTCTCCTCGCATTAAACCTTCTAATCAAATATTTTTTCATTATTCGATTCACCAATTGAAACAATATTCAATGCTGCCAATTGAGTTTTAACAATAAAATGATGACGTCCAAATACGGCATATTTTGGAATGAGAATATCATTAATCACATTTCCAATTTGATCACCGCCACAATGAAGAATATTTGACTACTGATCATTAAGCGCCATATACTGAATTATTTACTGTACTTCTAAATAGCTCATTTTATTTTCTCTCTTCCCTCCTCACCAACCTGATCTAAACGTCGTTTTTTTCAATATTATACTTTTAAAGACATGGAAATACGCGACGCTATTTAATTAGAGTTTATCATTTATGAAGCTTGGATGAAGTTTTGGAAATCCAACATAATGATAGAATTTTGGCAAGATATTTTGTTTTTTATACATTTTTATATTATTTGCTTTTTTTGAAAAAACGGAATGGCTATTGGCACTTCCGGGACTGTCAATAAGGAGCTATCCGCACTCCTAGGGAGTGTCAGTCAACAAGGCGCTATTGGTACTCTCAGCAAGTGTTTGAGAGTGTCAACAAGAAGCTATTGACACTTCCAGGGAATGTCTATATTCGCTGAGGGCGCCAGTTTAATCATGTATTTTTGCAGTGTAGTACCATTTCCTGGTAGTGCCAATCAGAGACCGAAACGGGTCGGATCGGTCACTCATAAAAGGAAAAAATTACAGAAATCGTAAGGAATCTGACCATTTCTTTAAAAAAATTTCAAAACAATCTGGCTAAGATAACTTTTCTATAGGAAAGAAGTGTTTCTTTGCGAATGTGTACGAAAACATTTTCATGTTCGGCTATACGTAGGCGTCAAAAAAAATCTAGTACCGCCCGATTCATCTAGATTACCAGATTTTTACTCGATTGCAACTACTGAGTGACGACAGTGAAAATCTAGTAATTCGGCGATTGCTACATTTCATCTGGTTGTAGCTATCGACCTATCGCTCGATAATCGATCGATTTACTTAGGGTTGACCAAAAGTTCGTAGAACGATGATGCTCGCTCCCCTCACACCGTGATCAAAACCTTTGGTCAGATCTAAGTATATTCTGATAGCGCTTGAATTTCTCTATCATCCGGTATATTTGTCTACTGTCCTGCATTTATCTATTGCAAAAATAACTTGAGTACAATGAAGATACCCTCCATTGACAAGTACGAAAATTCGCTGCTTTTTATGCTTTTTCAGATTATAGACACTATGGAAGTAAATCTTTATAAAAGGAATTAAACATTCTGATAGAGCTTCAAATTCTCTATCATCCTGTATATTTGTCTTATCTTGCATTTCTGTGCTGAAGAATAATTTGACTATCATGCAGGCACCCTTGTCAATTGAGGGTATCTTCATTGTATTAAAGTTATTTTTGCAATAGATAAATGCAAGACAATAGACAGATATATAGAACCATAGAGAATTTCCAGCGCTATCAGAATATATTTAGGGCTGACCAAACGTTCTGATCACGGTGTGAGGAGGGGAGGGCGGAATCACCGTTCTACGAACTTTTGGTCAACCCTAAGTAACTATTGCTAGTTGCACATGCAGACCCATTTAGTTAAAAGTCCCTTTTCTAACTAGTAATCTAGATGGCAACTAGTCATGTATCGCCCGATTACAGACGAAATGTATCTAGATTTTTCCCATAGGTGATGTTCGCTTGGGTATCTCGGATCACAGTGGAAAAATTTTCGTGTCCGTTCGGGTCGGATGGGGTCAACATTTAAGATATTGATTCGGGTGGATCGGATTCGGATCAACTCACGTTCAGGTCGACTCGGGTTCGTGTCACGCTTTGTTGACCCGTTTCGGTCTCTGGTGCCAATAGCTCCTTATTGACACTCTCGGGAGTGCCAATAGACTCACCCAAAAAAAAAATCATAAATAAAATTTGATAATGAGTTTGATAACAAACTGATCTAGTCTTTTGTATGAAGGTTTAGAACTAGTATAGAAAATAATGTTTAGGTGTTTGCAGATTTCACATTTAGGATATAAGCTGGATTGAACGTAAACTCTTTTTTTCTGATCAACAAGTGAAGCTGAAACCTAACTGAACTTGTGTCATTTGAGAAACGTTTAGTCTTTCTCCTATATAGAATCACAGATATCACATTTAAAACGGTATTTCGTGAACCTTACGTATATGCAGCAACGGCTAACAACTGTATAACCAGTATAGTCTATATAAGACGTTATACTTTTCCGTTCTCTTTGTATAACGTCATCATATACGTGTTTTCTTTTCTGTCTATGCGTTCGTTGATCGTCTCAAAAAAATCGTGAAAGTTGTGAAAGGCACATGTAAGAAAGAAGTCATATAGCCTGTTATTGAGTATAGCGTCTGTTTCAGGATTATTTGCCTGCGTTTAGCCTTTTTCATTCTTATGACTCAGCCTTTCACATGGTGCCTGAAATGTATCGCGATATACTTTCAAAGAATATGAAATAAAATTTCCACTTTCATAATGACAGTAGTGAAAGAAAACACTATAACGTTATTCATTTGTCTCGTTCCATAGTCAAACGTTAGACATATATAACTCAGGAAGGAAAGAAAAACTGTCTACGTCTTACGAAATGTGTGAATGATAATGGTTTCTTACGAGCACCATCTCATCTCTAATATCGTCCGAACGAAAAGATTTCAGGAGTTTGAGTGAATCCAGTTTCGAAGCCCTTTGAACCTTCTTTTTAATGGGAAGTTGTACAACTCTTTCTCACAAACTATTTGTAACTACGAAAGAAAATAAAGAATATTTATAACAGAGTTTCGGATGCACGCTGATGGTAGCGGCAAATACACTCACTAATGAGGACACAACAAGCTTATTTCTCTAGAGACTATTCCTTATCGATTGGCAAATGCTTCACTCTATATACAATTGAAGCAGAGATCTGCTACAGAAATTGATGATCTAGCACTGAGAATATAATTGGTTTTCAAATACGATTAAATCAATGATTTCAATATTTCGTAATACAGACTGACTTCGGAACATCCGTAACACGGCATATTTTCATTTTGTTTTACTACAAAAATTTGCAGAAACATTGTTTCTAATGTAGTCTGCGGCATCAAAAGTCGTCAATCACATATAGTGACAAGAAATGACACAATCTTTGTAAAAGTATTCTCTGCCTCTCTTTTCAATACTGGTAAACAGATAGTTGTCTTTCACTTTGTCTAACGTAGCTTTTTAAAAATTAATTTAGAAAAAACAGTATATCATTTTTATAAACAGAAACTTCATACATCTCTCTGAAAAAAGAAAAAAATGTTACCAATTAAAAAGCTTTGAGAAAAACGAACTTTTTTTCTTATGATGATCAGATATTTTGTTCACACTACTGGGAAATCTGATTTGAACATGATGAGCACCAGATTTGCTAACCGATAGACCGCGTTCATCTTCCACCCGTTTCATGAAATTATTCAGAGTTTCACCACCCGGTTGTACTGGGATCGGTACAGAATTTGGTTGATTTGTCATTGTAACAGAGGCACCAGCAGGCAGAAAGTTGTAATTACTTTGTTGTTGAGTAAACTGATGATCATCATTAGAATCAAGCATTTTGACATGATGATGACCAAATTTACTCATAGACAGATCATCTTCGTCTTCGACTGGTGTCAGAAAATCATTTAAAGTTTCACCACCAGGTCCAATATGAAGTGGTACAGGATTTGGTTGATTACTCATTCGAATCTCAGTACTATCGGGCATAAGAATGGGATTGTCATCCTGTTGAAGCAATGTTTTAATTTGAGCCATAGTACAAACTTCTTGCCAGATAGTGAGACGTGACTTATGTGATATACAAGGATAGACAACACGATGAATGCCAGATTTGAAACGATTTTGAGTAAGAATACTTGCTGCTTCACCTAACCATACGACGCCAATATAACGTTGGCCGTTTTCAGAATTATTCGGACCATCCACCCATTTGTCTTCTAATTGATCGTTCAACTGAAGACCATTACATGTTGATAGAATACTCAATGAAAAAAGACCTGGATCAAAATGTGGAACACAATTGACTTCTTCTGTATTTAAACCGATTTTAGGCTGATTTACAGGGCCTGTTCTTTCATTGAAATAATGCACTATATCGAGCATGCCCAACGGAGACAATTGCACCATTTCTTTAGCTGAACTTTGTACAAATATGGGCATTTTGAAGATGACAGATTTTATAATATTTGTAAAGTTATTAAGTAGTATTGCAAGATATTGTAACGTGTGTTCTACATCATTTGTCAAAGGACGATGGTAGTTTCCAAGGCCTTGTTGATCAATTAACACTTTAATACCTTCTTTATGACCGACTCGTGAATAACCAAAGGCATTCGATGATTCATACTGCGATTTTTCCATCTGATGTTGAGCAAAGAAGGCTGAGAGAGTTGTCTGAACTTCATTGAGTTTATCGGCTAGCTGATCCTTTTGATCGGGTAACAGAATAAAACACCAACCGTTTGATTCAAATTCATCTTGTAAACGGTTAATTTCGCTTGAATCGCCAATCAAGAGTCTATTGAAATCGACAAGTGTATGATTGTTGAAACTCTGCTCGGTCGTCATAAAAGCGATGGAGGAAGAAAAATGGTGATGTGGCATGTGTATCAAAAATGCGTCGCTCCTTATAAAGTGATTGAGTTATGAGTCTATAATGGGTTATTGCTCAATCAACAGAAATGATGAATCATACACATAAATTCACTACTACACTGTAAAAGATAATGTGCCCTTTGACGATACATTTTGTTCTATGTTGAAATGTGTCCATGCGTCGCTATTTGCGACACAAAATGTGTCCTTAGTAATGATATGCAAAATGTGTCGGTATTTAGGATACATTTTGCATCGCAAATAACGACGCATGGATACATAGTCTATACAACAAAATGTGTCCATTCCATGCACTTTTTGGGGGCACATTTTAGGACACATTATTGTTTACAGTGTAGCAAATTTCCTTTGGTGATATCCCAATCATCGCTAAATCGTCAATAATTGCTTGACTAAGTCATGAGTAACTTGATTCAGATGCTAAAGGTTCTCAGTACACTTGAAATTCGAAAGGATGAAGCGAAAAAGAAGTGCAAACCGAGAGCAGAAGATTTTCAGCTAGGCATATACTTCAAAAATCCTAATGAAAATATTCATTTCAATTTATTGAATGAATGATGCGAACATGTGAACCAATTCACAAATTCTACTCCAGAGTAACATTAAAAAATTAAAATGAATATATTCTCAAGATAGAACTATGTTTCTAAACTGAAAATGGGAAAAACTTTGAAGATATGATCGACAAGATTGAAAATATGTGAACAGTAGTGAATTGAATGCATGCCGTTTGAACGAGTTGGAAGAAAGTATAATTTCAAACAAGAATATTGTAATGTGGGCTTCGAATAATGAACTGTAGATTGTGAATGGAATGATTGAACCTGATACTCTCACGCATAATAAACGGACTGTGAGTTTGATAAGGTGCCGGCAATTCTAAAGATAAGCAAAAATTGTGTTTGATATTTTTTTAATCATTAGATCTAGCTCATCGAGTTACCTAGAAAAAACTGAAATGTGGAGTTTTGAAAGTCTTTTTTCATTTAAAAAGTTTTAAAATATTGATTTTTTAAGAATGGGTGATATTCAGCAAAATTTTGAAAAAGAAGCAAAATTTCAAAATTTCAGGATTTATTGTCTTTTTAAAATTTTGGCACTATTTTTTTCTGATCTTACATACAAAACTGAACTGAATTGAAAAAGTAATTCAGGTACTTTTAGAACGTGATTGGCCAACTGAAATCGCTGAAGACCGCGCAGAACGGCTGGAATCCCACCCGAACTTCTTGTAACCCTCTCCTCATATCTATCTCATCCATACACACACATCTTACTGTTTTATACTTATATTTATTGCAATTATTGAAACTACTAATTCGACCGAGATTTTAGAAGAAGAAGAGAAATTATTTCGCGGTAGCTGTCGGAAAGAGCATTTCAAAACCCTTAAGTACTGAGATTTATCAACATTCGTTCGGCGGATCTTGAGATAGCATTTTCATGTTACACGTCTAGTGACAAAAATAGATTTTGTATTTTTCATTTGGCTAGGTAGAGGAGAACATGCGCTACAAAATGGCATGAAAATTTCGTTTCTAAACATGTATAGATCGACCAAAACATGGTTTCGTAGAGAAAGGGATTCTCGACAAAACCT